CGATGTCCTCAGTAGACTTAATTTATGCATGCACTCCGACTGTTTGATGTCCTTCCATATAAACTTTTCAGCTTTCTCTAGCACTCCTTCCAAATCCTTAAATCGATGCTCAGCCGTTACTTAGCCTCTCTACTCTAGACGTTCTCATATCTCGTAATTGTTGTAACGTCTTCGACTTTTTCACCTGTAAGCGCCCAGCTATTGGACTAGCTTTCCCAGGCTCTTTCTAAAGTAGTAATATCCCAGTACCATAGCATGCACTGTGAACTTATACACCGCCGTGGTTCAGCAATATATGATATGACTCCCTCAATCAACTTACTGTATGCTTGCATTCTTCTTGTCTGTTGTCCTTTCGTTATTCGACCTTCTTAGCTTTCGTCTGGCGCTCTTCCTTACCTCATCCGGTCAGTGCACAGCTGCTCCTTGCTAGATGCACAGCTGTCACTCGTCTATGACACCTAATTTATAATAGTTCAGCATTCTCACTGGCTTCTCCCGGCTCATCCTTCCCTAGTTTTATTCCTTTAGCACCACAGCGTTATTTTATTATATGTGCATCGCCTATTTTTGCTCTAAACTGGTTAAGAGCCTTAATGTATGCCTGAGATTCATTCGTTCGTTGTCCCTTCTTTATGAAGCCTTTCTTTGCTCTCTTCTGTCGTGCAGGCATATCCGTGTATTCAGCGCAAGCCGCTGTTTTGCCTCACTCTTCTTACTGTTCATTTATTCCTTACTTGATGTATTGTCTTAGACCTTATTACATGCAATCATACAACTCTCGGGCTAGCATTCGCTGGCACTATCCAGCTTGGTACTATTATATTAGCACCCTAGCTGCTGAGGTTAGGCCTCACTGCTCCGATACTCTAAGCAACCTTACTCTACGCTTGCATTTCGGCTATTCCCTGCCTTTCCGTCAATTAATGTTGCGTAGCCTCTTAGTTTTTCCCTCCTCTCACTTGGTCAGCACGCAGACGCCCGTTAGCTTCACATTTCTACGTGTTCATTTCTCACCCTTTTCTTAGCACCCTAGTATGACTTGTTTCTCTGCGCGAGGCTACATATATATTTGTTCCACACGTGCACTTTCCTTTAACTGATCTTTAATACTTCATTTCTATCGATCAATCCTTTCTCCCCCATTAACCTGGGTCCGATTTTTACAGCAAAGGTTTCGACACTTACCTTTGTAGGAGGTTAGCTATCATAGGCTTTTCCTATTTCAATAGGCCATAGCACTATACTCCTAGTACCATCGTATCGTCTTTCTGTCTTCATCACCCAAAAATTTGTACTCAGCGTTTGAGTCCTATCTATCCGCTGACTTACCATCTCTTTTGATGTAGGCTGGCCACCAGCCGTCCATCCACCATTCTAACGCCGCTGGTCCCTGAACTCTGCTTTCTGTCTTTCCACGCAATAGTCAGGTCAGGTCAGGTCAAAAATCCGTGGACGATACAGGCTTACGTCTAACGAGCGTCCAGCTTCTTGTACCGGTAAGCGAAACAGGGCCCTGGCACTTCGACTTTTGATCGCCTCTCCTTGCATCTGCAAAATGAAATGAAGCAAAAGCGAGGGCAATTTTTGCTTTTACAGGGATCAACATCGGATATCAATGCGAAGAAATTGGATAGGATTATATTAATTTCGGAAAAGTACGCGGTCAGCACCTGTCTAGATCTGCTTTGAAGGCAACCACAGTCTCACAATCCATTAGTTCCGAAGGCAACTTATTCCAGTTGCGCACTACACTATTCGAGAAGCACTTAGCCCTGACGTTCAGTCTAGCCCTCTGCTGTTTGAGCTTTAAGCGATGTCCGCGCGTGTTCAGAATCAGCCAGCCCAAATAAATCGGAGGGCACGATGGCACTGAGGCCCTTCATGATCTTAAATGTTTCTATCAGATCCCCTCTCAGTCTACGCCGTTCAAGGGAAAACAACCCCAGGCTCTTTAGGCGAGCTTCATACGGGCTTCCCCCGTTGACCTTCAACCATCCTGGCTTGGTATTACACAGAGCCCTCCTGAGGCGAAACAATGCTCGTCGCGCTTTGTTGGCGGCGTATCGACATTACATGGAAGGCTTGAAGCTGCTCGTCATGATGACTCCTAAATTGCGTGCCTGGGTAGTGCATTGTAAGGGGAAGGGCATCATAGTAAACTGATACTGCGTTTTTGCTTAACGGCGCAACGCTCTGTATTCCCTGTAGATAGTAGCAACCAACTTATAGGGCCATTGCTTTCGCAAAACATCCAAAAGACACTTTCAGCACAATCATTGCTGCACATTGTACATCAACACGGTCGCTCCTTTATCTTTGCTAACGATGTGAAAGTTGACTACGACTTTCCCCATGGTAATGAATTTTCCGCAATTAATAGTATCCGTGAGGATCTTAAAGCACTTGAAAAGTGGTGCGAACACTGGCAAATGACCTTCTCCGCCAAAAAATCTAACGTCATGCCCCACAGACTCTCTATACCTGCTGGGTCCCTAACAATAAACCGTATCACTATCAAACAGAATATCATAACAACAGATCTGGGCTTGCGCTACTCTATGAGCCTCAACTTTGCTGAGCAAGTGCATTATCAAGTCGCAAGGGTAAGAGGATTATCGTTCCACATACGCCGTTGCATAGAAACCGCCGATGTAAGGCTAGAACTGTATAAGAGTCACGTCAGGCCACATCTAGAATATTACTCTTTTATATGCCGCAATCTACGTAAGTCGGACCGTGTTCTGCTTGAGAAAGCTCAGCGACGCTTTACGAAGATGTTGACTCCACCGCAGCAAGCGCTGAAATACCGACAGAGGTGTGAACACCTTAAAATTCAGCCCCTATGGCAAAGGCGCATTATCCTTAACATGTGCTTCTTACACAAGCTAATTCATAGAAAGTCACACAGTAATATCACTTGTCTTAAACTAAGGAGCGCGTCTGAATCAAGACTCTGAAACAGGGGCCATTCCATTACTCCCCTAAAGGCAAAGAAGAGACTGCGGTCTCGTTTCTTCTTAGTTGTCTACGTGAACATATGGAACAGGTTGCCTCTCAGAATAAGAGAAATCCAAACTTTGCAGGTCTTCAGGAAGGAGATACAAAAATTCCCATGTTTTGGCAATCTACAAAGCATCTTCCATATCTGCGATTTGCAAGACCACTTCTTTGAAACTGGCCCTGATATAGCTTGAGGACGCCCACGATGTAGTGCAAGACATCTAAGCACCTTCAGCTCAAAACTCATCCACATTCATTGTGGTTACCGTACTAGCACCTAAGAGACTTTAACGGTATCCGTCGCACCCATTTTCCAGGGTTTAATAATAGCAAACTGAATAAATTGAGCGTCAACGTTGCCATGACCGGGAAGAAGTCGAACGTCTGGCCAAAATATCTTAGGTAAATTTAGATCTCCCATCAGTAAGAACAGGGCGGCTCATGTGCTTCTGTACATATCGCCAATCGCAAGAACGGTTTAATGGGCTCCGGTAGATAACCCCCACTATTAGTTCTGCGAGCCTGACGCGGATTGTGCACCACAATTGCTCGCATAAACTATCCTCGCTCCGATAGGTACTGATAAGTTTGCCAGATAGTGACGATTTTATGTACAACAGAACACCATCGTGAGCCTTTGATCTTCGGTCGCATCGGAAACAAGAGTATGCCGACAACACGACTTCTTGGGGTATGACGTCGGAATTCAGCCAAGTACTATAACGTTCGGCCGCTCTGAGACAACGAAGCGGCACAGTTCGTCACGTTTGGAGGTCGAGCAACCAGTTGATACGGGTTCGTACACCCTTCTTGATCACCCGAAAATTTACAATTTGTAAGTCAGTCTCACCTTCCTCTGTACGGCGTTTGAGCTCAATGAGCGCAGTCTTCAAACGATCCGTCTTCGGGTTCCAAGTCTCGGCGGATGTGAACTTTTATGCCTTTCAGCCTTGACAGACGAGACAGTATGAGTTGCGCCATATTGGGATTTGCAAAGGTGATTCTCAGACGTCGACATGACTGGTTAGTTTTCTGACCAAGTCGGATTACTTGTTTAATCGTCAAACTGTCTTCGCCCACATCCAAGAGTCTATCGATGAGCCCTTGAAGGAACTCAACATCGTGATCATAACGTATCTGAGGGTTTTCATCTTTTGATTCTGGCACGTAGAAGACCATGAGATTATGACGCCTCAGCGAAATCAGTGATGAACTTGTGGGAGCAGAACTAGAGGCGCTTAACTGATTGGGTTGTTGTTTATCAGCAGGTGACGTTTGAACTCGATTACGTGGGCCCTTGAGCTTTTGAGTGGTTCATGGATCCTCGGTGTTCAGAATTTCACAGACAGTCTCTGAGAAATTCACGGACCGATCAATGAAGCGGCATTTCGTAGCTTCCGAGTCTGAGTCTTCCATCGGTGGGGAACATTGAACCTGGAGCTCGGCCGGGATCGAAGACGCTGGTGGTGGTGCAGATCGCGGAGTGACAATAGAAGGCGTTTGATCCCACGTGGTGAACGGTTTGTTTCTATCTGAAAGGGAGATTTTCACGTAATTGTTTGCGGTCTCTGCGTAATGTGATATCTTATACCGCGACATTTATCACATATAACTTGAAAAAACCGATGTCGGATGTCGAGCGATTTTCGAAACACGTCAACGGATAAGCCAATGCACGAAATGTGGAACAAAACATCACAGCCGAAGCATCGAAGTGCATGAGCCTTATTTCCCACAACTTTCGAACACGAACCACAAGTAGCTTGAGACGGCATCACAAGCTAGAGCAAATCCAAGATGGCGGACAGAAGTGGTAGTAGAGCAAATCAAAGAAAATCTCCGGAAGCAGCCAAAGAATAGCTGCCAAATTTGCACCGCTTGGAAAATACGCCAAAGGAAAGATATTGGTGCACAATTCACAAAGATAAAACGATGATAACGCAGTAATCTGAGGCAAAAGTAGTATCCAGTGCATTGAACAAATAGATTTAGCATGTGATAACCTGACTGCCATGTTGAACAAAACGTGTGTGATGACGCTCGCCACTAAAGGCCTAGGAACCAATACAAAAAGTAAGAACAGAGATGGAATCAATGTCGAATCATGTAATCACAAGCGGATAAGTGACACTTGAAAGGCGATGGAGTTCCTCAGTCTGCAACTCTGTCAGGTTCCACCACATGGTCAGCAGTCTGTTCATCGTGCATATGATCAGATGAGGTCTGCGGCTGTGCGGGTGGGACATCCTCTCCACTTTCCTCGCTCTCGTCCGATTCAAAGGCATCTCTTGGGACGGAGAAGATGCGAAGCATAGGCTGTGTAAAAGGTAGGGAGAAAGAAAAAGTTAAACGTGAATGCAGCAAGGATGTGTTGATGACAAAGATAGCGGGATTCCATCAGCCAACAAAGAGGGTGGGAGTGAACTTGAGGTAGGGTCTTCCACACTCTGACTGTGAACCACAGTTCCATACCCAGATCATCCATCGACAGGACCCTCGGTATCGTTTTGGCCCGAACCTCAGTCCACGCAGATTTGTGAAACTTTTCATGAAGTTAGAAAACTATCCCAATATGCATTCAGTACCTCGTACATTAATAGTTAAGTCAATAACCTCGCGCATTATTTCTCATTGACTATACTGCTCCCGGCAGCTTCCCTTGTGGGCAAGAACGATGAGGCACATTTCTAGATGCAGTGGTTTGGAGAGTCGAGTCGATTTGATCATTTCTAGACATCTTGAGAACTGCAATTTCTGCTGGTATTTTCCGGGGAGAGTTTAAAATGCGATTTCAAGCAAAAAGGTAATGTAATATCTAGTATTTTTTGATTGAGATTACAGAAAAGACAGCAACCTTTAGTACTTTTAAACTAATTTGGCCAATGAACGTTACTCTTGATGCAATGCTTAGATAACATTCTAGCAGGCGTTCTTAAAAAGGATGTCATCAGAAAATAGGTTGATGCTCGATTTCGTCCAAAACACGGTGACTTTTCATTCTTGAAAAGTTAAAGTTTGATTTTTCCGCACTTCATTGTACCGTAATACTATCTCATGTTATCTGTCGTGATTGCTCTATGGCTCAACGAAAGACGGTATTAACATGCTGCGCGAGCAGCTGTTTTTAGATTCCACTTGTTGCCTCTCTCTGTGTTTTTTACTGAGTTCGTCTTCCAGCACATCCGGCGTGGTTGTGTAAATGCTGCAAACGAAGCAATTTGAGATCAAAAAGCTTATCTTGACCCGAAATGAAACCGACAACAAAAGTCAGATGTTTGTGCGAAATATAAGCAGTGCGTAACATCGATGACGATCCGGTGGTCATAAGCCAGTAACAGAGTTGGATGAAAGGGGTTGAAAAGAACAATGATGATGTGCATATGAGTGATGGATTCTTGATGTGAATAGTTGGGACTCATTTCGTAGCAATTTGCAAATCAGATAGTTCTCATAAAGGGTATCAGCACTACGCCGGTACACAGTAGCGGCGCTCCGCTGACGCGCAATCACCAACAGTCACGTGTTGGCTAGGAATACTGGGAAGGTCACACAGTTCCATACGCAGCCTCGAACCCGAACCGTCGGAGTATGAAGCAGGTTTGTGATCCCTTAGGCGACGGGCGTGCTGATAATCCTCCACATACCCGGAAAAACACTACAAGGGGACCAGACACTTGTTGGATCTCATCAGTAGTAAACACCCATCGGATCGATCAGGATTCGAACGCATGAACACTAGCGGCTTGCGTCGCCACCCACCAGCTTATGTCACTGAGCCATGGCCACAGCGGCGCACCATCATGACTTATAAGCTAACTGTGATATAACGTGCCTCACCCAGCGCACAAGTTTCGAACGTTGCGAAGGACAGAGTAGACAAGGAAAGAGACAACCTCCCTGAAAAAGTCAAAGCTGAATTTAGAGAGCACGCTGTGGGGTAGGGTTGTGACTCGCAACCTCTATGGAGACCTCGGTTCAATATGAGGTAAAACTTGGTAATTCCGATCACGAGGACCGTATCCTGAATGGAAATATTTGGTTGCTGCTCTTCCCAAAACTGGCAAACCACGGCCGCGGTTTCGTCCTGGCTTGAACTCGTCAGGTTTAGATAGTCTGAGCTGGGGTGGGGTGTTTGGGACGTCAGCCGTGAACTACTAAGCTCTGAGTTCCACCCCAGCTCTGGCTATCTCCACCAGACGAGTCCGAACCAGGACGAAAAAGCGGTCGTGGTGTGTCAGTGTTGAGAAGAGCAAAACCCAAAAATTTCCATTCCAAGTGTATTGGAAGTTAACTCGTAATCTCATAATACATTAAAACTTGTAGTAGGTTGAGGCAGAGTAATCCAAATCTTCCAACTGACAGCACTACTCATCAGTACCATGAAATAAGTCAGTATAACTTCTAAATCCTATGTGGTACATAGGTGCTATGTAGAAAGTCTTAGCTAGTGAGGCTAGTCATTGTCCTCTGCACAGTTCGTAACTGGCATGGCAGTGGAACATGAGCCGGGCTATAACATAGGCAACTGTCAATCACGCAGGTCCGCGGCTGTCACCCATGGCGGTGGCATTGGCTGCTGGCATCCTGAAGTCATGGGACAGAATCCGGCAGGGGTCCGCTGGGAGTTGCACCACTGAGGAGAATCGAAAGGTCGAAAAGCCGACGTCTGGTGCTTTTCCAGACTAGTTTAAGCCTGCTGATTGGGAGTGGCGATGATGAATTAGCTGAACAATAAGGAAATGTTTCTTTTTATTAGGTCTGGTGCCAAAGCGTTTTTAACTAATCTTTAAGATGCAAACAACAATCGATTGCACTAATTTTCCCAAGAGATCATGTTTTTGTTTTAATGTATGAGTTCTCAAGCTGCCTATATAAGGGCATACTTTCTGTTTTCGACTGTACCCTTCAAAGATTGACTGTTGGAACGCAACACGTGTATTTTATAGATTACATACAACTACCTGCAACCCTTCACATGTTAAAATTTTTCCATTCTTACCATATACATCTAGCGCAAAGGAGCAATATATTCATCCGACACATCAATTTATGCTGTCCTAGTTATCTGCAAGTTGAACTATCTCGCAGGGGGCAAATACAACAAGTACTTGGATATCCTTATCAGCCGCAGAGAAAACGGGCAGATTAAGAGGTCTGTCTACAGGAAACCAACATGGTCCGGGAAGTATCTGCATTTCACTAGCTTCACACCAATGCGATGCAAGCAGACGCTCGTGAGAACCCTGATTAGCCGTGACAGACGAATCTGCTCCGCTGATTGTCTGGTTGACGAACTGCCGTTGATTACCAACACGCCCATTGAAAATGGCTACCGCCGAAGGTTCATCGAGAAACATAGGCAAGTGCGACCGAGGGACCTAGTGCACACGGTATCCAAAAAGCCTGTAATCATTGAACTGTCAATCAAAGGTGACGTTTCCTCGTTGAGGACCACAAGGCGTCCGATCTGTGCCATGCAGACAACTTACTATGCCGCCAAGGTCGTTGTCATTAACAAAACCCAAAAACTGCCACTTCCTTCTGTAAAGGAGGCTCAGTCTATCGGGGCCAAATCGCATTGCGTTTACCAATTCATTTGTGACTGCGGCGCCAGTTCCATAGGCAGGACCGATAGAACATTGAGTTCCCGAATGAAGGAGCATATACCTAAGTGGGTTAAACGCTCGATCGCGCAAAAAACTGGCCAGAGTCAAGCGGCATGTCTGCGTAAGCCACCAGCCTCTTCGATCGGGCGGCACTTACTGACCACAGGTCACCGAGTCGAGGTCATTTCGGCGCTCACAATCCTATTACAGCACACCAATTCTCGCCTCCTCCGTTTTGAAGAGGCGATTGCAATTAACCGGATTAAGCCGCTGCTTTGTGTTCAGAAACAATTATCGGTCAGTATTAGACTGCCCTGGGGATAAGGGTGATAACCCTGTCATTCCACTTTATTTGGTTTGTTCTGCCTACATGAATAATCTTCTAGTAACTGGCCACGTTGCTTAAGCCAACTGCGCATAGCTTCGGCATATTGGTTGCGTTTGTAGCATTTTTAACTAACTCGTGGACATTTCTTACTTATCACGGATTCGTTGCTAACCAACTTACTTCATATGCTAATTTAGCGAAGAGTTATGCCACCGTATCTGTATGCATTATTGGAGTTGTTTTATTTCATCTTGTCGTTTCAAGTGATTGGCTGTTGCTTGGTATCCCCAGTGTGGCTGCGCTTGATGTGCATGTTGACACGGTGCCTACCTGTCCATTACCCACTACCTCGTTCATACTGGCTCCAGGAGACAGTTGGTCCTTGCTGGAGGGGACGGGGTGCAAGGTCCTTGTGGTCATGCTAGGCCCGAATAATGGTTCCATGCACTCAGTGTGGAGCAGACTACGGTCCAGCCACCGCCTTTTGTGTGGTTGATTCCCAACTACAGCGTGCTTGTGTTTGCCTGTGAAGGAGTGTGGGCCGGCTCCGTTGATGAAACGTGGCTCCCATCCACATACCTCTCGGTCTTATTCCATCGGGTTTACACTGGATATGGGGTGTGTGGATTGGAGCTGTGGGTCGTGCAGCGCAAGCCACCCATGGTCCCTCTGTCGGCGCAGGCGTCCTGTGGCTGGCCATAGTGACAGGCAAATCCGAAACCGGATGCCGCCAACCATGTTCGGTCGCACTCTTCACTGAATAAATATTATTGATGAGACAATACGAAATGCGTGCATTTGCCAGTCTTCGTCTTCTTACTGCGCTTTTAAAATCCATCAAGTAACAAAAAATAATCTATGTAATAAGACATGCGGCAGTGTACGCTTATGTAAAGTGACTTATTTTATTCTCATCCGACAATCGAATTTGAATTTTCGCGCGGTAGGTTGGTAGAAGGCTACTCCATGATTTACGAGCACCCGGGCTAAAATACAACATTAACGGGTGATTGGTGGTTTAACTAGAGGAACGAATCCCATGGTAATTAGCAGTCAGTCAGGGCGGCCTTCGTATGAGGGTAGCCATGTGTGTTGCGAGGTGAGTGCTGACAACGAACCCCAAATAAACGAGGCGGTTTAGTGGGGGTCGTGTGACGATAGTTTGATTAAACTTGACTGAAACGAATCGCTTCCGTAAAGAAAACCCAGATTAGTCAGCGAGTCATGATGGCTCACGTAAACCAATCGTTAGTTGTGAGTTGCGTTTGGGTGACAATGCCAGCAACACTGTTCGAATCGGTAGGTTGTTGGAACAAAAAACGAGGTACATTCCTCCATGAGGCCAGAAGCCTTTCCCAAGAACGGACAGAGCAGATAGAAGATGGTGATAAGAGGATAATGGAATAGAGTAAGTTCTAAGGAGGAGCTGAATGGCAAAAGTACAAGTTTATCAAAGCTGGACTTAGTCAGACAGCTAACACACACAAGCCCGTAAAAAGCACTGCACGGTCGTTTCATCCTTTTGGGAATCGCCAGCAGTGCGAATTCCATTTGGCCCCTGTGGGGCTCGAACCTGCAACCCGAATGCGACCAGTCCGTGGTGAAGACTACTGGGCTACGGGCGGGGACGGTAACGACTACCGTGACTAAGTTACTAGATGTGATATAGCACCACTCACTCTCCACTGACTTGCACGTTACTATCCAGTGGAGGACAAGGTATCACCTTCAACAGATTACAGTCGGAAAAGATAAAACGTAGCATGTCAAACAGATAAAAAAGCAATCAGCGTCGTTGAGCGTGAAGTTGCCATCAAGATACAAGCGCGAACAAATCTTTCCGTTGCGTGCTTTCGTCAGTAGGCACCAGTCTGTGGGTTGATCGGACAACGCGAAGAAACGGCGGACAGAGTCTGCCGGAGTAAGAAACCAAAGGTATGCGCAGCATGTCATTTAGTCGGTGTAAGAGAGTCCTATGTAACAAAACATCCACACCAAAGGATCTGGTGCCAAATACCAACTGGCGGACCATTGTATTGTTCGTTTGATAACCATTCCAGGGATTGGCGATTCTCCGCAAGAACGGGTGAATGAAGACAAGCAGTCTCGCAAAGTCCGCGACGCGCAACAACTCACTTTAATCCGTAGAGCAGCACCGACCGCTTTGTGGCGACGCACAGCTTGTCTAGACATAGAATTTGCGGCCGTGATAAGTGGGTTAGACAGCCTAGATATAAGCTGGTTTAGAAAACCACATTTGCCATGACCGGTTGAGGCTTTTGGAACAACTCATCGGAAAACCACTATTTTAAAAATAGTCACAGTTGCACATGGGCTGAGGTAATGCCAGGGCTCCTAGACCTAGAGTGGGGAACGATTAGGGTCTTCAACAAAAAGCCTTTGGCCCAAAAACTTGCCGCAAGACAACGGGGAAGTGGCAAAGATTCGGTTGCACAGAAATGAACACTATCCCATTTCCAATCCGCAACCTGAAGGACCAGGATTTGTCTGACCCCTAATCATTTACCGGCCTCGTAGGAGTAGCTCACAAAGGGTCCATGGGCTCCCACCAGTATGGCTCAATGGGTCGACAAGGTACACAAACTGTCATGCCTAGCTAAGGTCCAGTCCCGTTGCAACGAAACAAACTTACAGTAGCCCAAAATTCAACTCTTCATCATTGAATACATTCTCCTTCCTTCCGCATCAATGATTTTCCCACCTTATTTGTCTACATCAGTAACTCACAAGACGCCGGCCGGTGGCCGAGGGGTCTGCACGTTTGCTTTGCAACCGGTTCGAATCCGCATAGGGGTTGGCGTCCTCGCGGTATACTTAGCCCGCGCGCGACTGGTGGTGGTCGCGCGGCAGCGAAGCGCCGTTACGGCGTACAGCTGACACATGATATTATTTATTATTGTAACTCACAAGACTGAGGTCAAACAAGACATGTGGGCATGAGTGTGTGTGCGTGTGGATGCATTACAGTTATCTCTGACAGAGATTTGCAATCGACATTTGACGACTGGACAGACAACAGGAAAGCAGCCAAAATAACACCTATGCTTAAGATGTGTCGGCCGATAGTATGCAGCCGCGTGCTGTTGAAGGTGCTTGAAAATGATTGCTGAACCCCTGCTTTGTCACAAACAGTCGTAAAGAATGATAGCAAACAGTTTGCATCCAAGACAGGGCACTCTACTCTGGATGCCGTTCCATATCTTGTCCATCTCATCGCATCTGTGTTGGAGAAAACGGGAAGATTGTGCCGCTCCTGTACCTTGATTACACTGATACCTTTGGGAGCGTTGACAGATCGTTACTACTGAACCTTTTGTTCGAAAACGGCGTTCCCCCATACGAATGTAATGTAATGCGTGACTACAAGTCGCGCATACTCCAAACAGTTATGTGGCAGTAGATATTCCGCAATCCCAGGTCTTGCAAGAAGTTATTATATCTCCCATTCTGCTTTCCCTCTATGTTGTATGTCTACCTACACCAACCTGTTTCATGAGATAAAAATGTCACAATGACGTGCTGGTTGAGGAGTCTTTGGAACTCAGAAGAAGATTATATGGACTCATGACTTGGTCAAGCTCTCGGATCCTCTCCCTTTTTGGTGACATCACATCCTCATTGTTCCGCTCCAACAGACTGCGTTCATTTTTAAAAACATCACTCCTCTTTTGGCCGTGAATGACCAAAACATCCCCAGTTCATCCACTATAAGGTATATCGGTTTGTTCCTGTCTTACAATCTACCCTGGTAGATGGACATTCTTAAAACGATCCTTTTACGCTCTCAGATTTAAAAGGCTCTCCGTACTGCGTGCTCCAATGACAACGTTTGTAAATACATCCGTTCTCCCCATTGGTTATACTGTTCCCCTGTTATTCGCCATGGAATTCTTCAGAAGTATTGCGCTCTTCTTTTGCGCTCACCAACAAGCAAGTAAGCAAGAAGTCACTACTCGTTAATTTTATTTCGAACAGGCATGTTAACGCACGCTTCAATTTTTCATCCAGCATTCTTAACAATCCGTCTCATTCATACACATTATTTTAACAAAGACAGTAGCTACTAATTCCATGCGGGCAAAATATAAAGATATATTTTTTCGTACCCAGTCATATCGCAACTTCATCTTGTCCTATCTGTCTCGTTTGTTAATCGGCCCAAAGTGAATGCTACATTAATTACGAGACTGGTTGCTTGATTAAAAATGAACACTTGTTGTCAATTCGCATTGTCCCACCAAGGCTATGTTGTGTTACGTCCGAAATGCTGGTGTAAATTGCCGAAAATGCTCCCATACGGGTGTATAACGCTTAGCATGATTTGACTTACAATTTTCGGGAGTAATCGAGGTTTTGGAAATGCGCTTAGCGGTCTATTTTGCACCGGAGGCTGAACAAACACGGTGGAACGTAATGAGCGGTGTAACACAACCAGGTATGCCTTGTCATTCCAAGACTCGCAGTACATATCAAGGGGTGCAACGCTGTGCGCTTTATTTCAAAAGAAGAACATGGTCAAAATACTCTGCGTTTGGTAAAAATTCCACTTCAAAAAAAAGAAATCATCGGGGTAAACTCCGACGTACCGTAATCAGCGGTGCAACGTGACGGGACGAGTAAGGAAGCAACCTCGTTCGCTGAAATCCTTCTGGCAGTTAAACTGGACAAATAATCGGCCGCTTTCGGTTGCATTACGGTTTCCACTCTTTAACGTTCTCAGTCAACTGTCAGATTCCTAGTTTGTACTGCCGTTACAATGGTTTGTAGATATGCTGGAACTGACTATCCGATCGACTAGGTTCCATTGCAGAAAGCCAGCAGATATACAAGCACCTAGAACTAGTCGAATGACCCATTTTATGGTGTATTGTGGGGGATTCTAACCAGCGATAGGCTCATCATCGCCACTGTAAATTGCTGCTTTGTCAGTGAGCAACTGCACTTGTGTACCTGGTTGAGAACCTGGAGCGAATGTGACGGAGGCGTGAACCCATGCATGCTCTTCCGTTGGTCTGGCGGTAAAGACAGGTTGAATGGACACAGAGATAACAGCAGTACGTTAAATTTGAATGGATGGCAAGTAAGGTAACTCGGTCGATTGTTCTAAATCAAGTTGTTGATGAGCCTAAGTTGAAGAAGCCAATCGTCCTTGTGTTAATGCGACGGGCGTTGATCTGACTTTAGTGGCCGAGCGGAAACAACAGGGGATACAGACAACGCATCTCAGCTGGGGACTCAACCAATATCGAAGTGCTGCTGCTGTCGAATAGACAGATACACAGTGCTAAGTACCTAAGCAGATAGCTTTAATGTTCAACGCACAAAGCACTTCTGCATGAGTGGGTCCACACTATGCTGATCGGTTCATCCAACCAGATAAACGCACCACAACTCCGGTGAGCAAGCTGCCGAGGTTACTGCGCGCTTCCGTGAGGCGAATGTGGCTTTGCGAAGTCTGACACATCCACAGATACGGTGGTGTGGAACGTCGCAGAGCGATCAGCGTTACTCTACACGTATGGCAAACGTAGGCTGAAGAGAGTATAGGAACGTTCAACTTAAAAATCCAGGTGTCAACAGATCATCCCGATGAGAGTGCAAGCAACAAGTTGAAATGCCGACCAAACAATATTTGAGAAAAGTCTGATGTCAGACTGAACTGTAAAGGCGAACTAAGTCTTCGCATCGCACAAATGCTGATGGTTCCTAGCGCAATGTCTGAGGAAGTTTTAAGATAGTTGGCCCAAGTATCATGACGAAAAGACGCGGAGGAAATGGGTTGGTGTATGCCAGCACCTATCCATGTTCCTAAGGTGTATGAACAAGTGTTCCCCGGCATTTACAGGTGCCAAATATATGGTGTTGCGCGCGTTTGGGAAAAAAATGGATGTGAACAAGAGATTTGATAAGATAGAGGGTGGGAAAGATGGTTACGTCACAGCAGGGAATGGGAAGCGTATGCAACCAGTGCTATTGAAGCCGCTTAACCCACTAAGTAATGACGGATATAACGACGGTCCGGGACAGAAAACGAAGCGATCAAGTATCAAGAGTGAAAGTTTGCACACATTACCAACGTAGTGATGGGGCAAAGTCCTAGGGGGAGGACAAAGATTACCTTGTTAGGGTCCTTTAGTAGGAGATATCTGCCTTCGGGCATCTTCATGAAGAAGTCGATCACGCAACGCAGTATACCCCAAGAGTTGTCCAAGTTCAGATTGAGTTGAAGTGCAAATTCCAGGGGTTTGCACTGTTGTGTACCAAGAATCACATGTCGCGAAGAGTCTTTCGGATTGACACGTGAGACAAAACTGAAAAGACAAGTTTGGACGGAAACAGATGAGGGATAGTGTTATGCATAGCAGGGAGATAGAGCGACAGTTCGATGCAACGAAGTGAGAAGCCACAATTAAACTAAGAATTGGTCGAAAATAACGAAGTGATAGAGAGCACGGGCTAGGACACAACCGTTAATTGTAATGCTGAACATGGAGTGTAATGCAAGAGATCGGCCAGTGGTCGAAAGGATTGTGTTCCTGCTTTGTAATTCGGATATCATTGGTTCGAATCTGCGTGAGTGCGAGCGACCTAGCGGTATATTCAGCAAACGCGCGCTTGTTGGTGCTGGCCTATGCCCGAAAGGACTAGGCGTATGCCTTGCAAGTCGGAGGTCGCGGGTTCCCTCTTGCGAAAAGGACCGGGCGAGCCTTGAAGTGTCCTTAGCCCATGCGTGACTTGTGGTGGTTGCGCGAAAACGAAGCGTTGGTGCCCCGTACAGACGCCTGGCAGATGCCTTACAATGATAGAGATGCCCAATATCAAAAGAGATTTCGTCTGTCCAAGTAAGTGGAAAGTGCCAAAAAGATCACCCCAAGGTCTTAGTGTATCGATTAGGGCAGGCAAACTGGGAGCCGCCGTCCCACCGCACCATATATATATATATGGTTGGCGGCATCCGGTTTCGGATTTGCCTGTCACTGTGGCCAGCCACAGGACGCCTGCGCCTACAGAGAGACCATGTATGGCTTGCGCTGCGCGACCCACAGCTCCATCCACACACCTCATATCCAGTGTAAACCCGAAAGAATAAGACCGAGAGGTATGTGGGTGGGAGCCACGTTTCATCAACAGAGCCGGCCCACACTCCTTCACAGGCAAACACAAGCACGCTGTATTTGGGGAATCAAGCGCACACAAGACGGTGGCTGGACCGTAGTCTGCTCCACACTGAGTGCATGGATCCGTTCTTCGAGCCTAACACGGCCACAGCGACCGTGCACCCTGTCCCCTCCAACAACGACCAACTGTCTCCTGGAGCCAGTATGGACGGGGTAGTGGGTAATAGACAGGTAGGCACCTTGTCAACATGCACATCAAGCGCATCCACCCCGGGGATATCAAACAACAGCCAAACACTTGAAAGAGAGAAAGGAAAAGAGAGAAAAACTCGATTAATGCTTAAGGAAACGGTTATATAAACCTTATGTTAATGAGCATATGTAATAGGTTGATTACAAACAAATCCTAGCTAAGTGCACGAGGTCAGAAAGTATAGTTCACGGAATGCCACGAACGCAAAAATGTTATGGAAATCGAATACATTTGGCTTAGGCGATGTGTGCAAGTTAATGAAATAGAGTACAGGGAGATATTTATATGAGAAAGAAAAGCATTAAGGCAAAAACTGTAAACCCACCACCTGAAATAAAGAGACTTAGCATGCAAGCACGCGGTTAGTAAATCGAATTCAGCGTGCCTACAAACGCTGTGCCGGCTCGCCGTAATTCTCTGAAGGACCCGTCGTCGCTTCTGTAGTGGCCCCAAATGGCACAGCTCATGGCCCGCTAGACATTTATATGAGAAAGAAAGGCATTAGGAGAGAACCGAAAACCCACCACCTGAAATAAAGAGACTTAGCATGCAAGCATGCGGTTAGTAAATCGAATTCAGCGTGCCTACAAACGCTGCACCAGTGCTGCCTACGTTCACTGCGGGACCCGTCGGCGCTTCGGCAGTGGTCCCGAGTGACCTCTCTCATGGCTCACTAGGCCTGCCTGACTAAGGCACTCGCGACCGCATGTTCTACAGCACCATGCGCTCGATGTCGATGGAGTACAATCCATCAGTGCTTGCCAATTCCGCAACTGCCGCTTCTTCTCTGCATGTATGAGGGCTTTCTCCCGCACCTCAGCAACTGCCTTCGTGATTAGATCGCGCCATGCACGCCGATCAAGCGCCTTCGATTCCCATGATCTGCAATCAAGATTAGAACGTGTGAGGCTCACTTTAATCATGTCCTGGTAAGGTAACTTTGGTTTCCCCACGTGCCGCTTCCCAATACTCAGCTGACCGTATAAAAGTTGTTTCGGTATCCGCGCCGAATCCATACGGCTCACATGACCGAGCGATCTCAGGTGTCGCAGTAAAAGTATGCCGTCCACTGCATACATCCCACTTCGGCGCAACACCTCCGTGTCTGCGACTCTGGCGTCCCAACCGATCCGCAAAATTCGTCGCAGACACTGCTGATGGAACCCCTCGAGATATCGCACATCCCGACAGTACATCGTCCACGTTTCACTGCCGTATAGAAGAACGGACAGTACCATGGATTTGTACACCATCAGCTTCGTGCCAATGCTAAGCTGATGGTTGTTCCACACTCGGTACTCAAGCTTCCCGAATGCCGCTGCCGCCTTCGACACGCGAACACGCAACTCAACGTGTAGCTGCTGATCAGTCGACATCACACTCCCAAGGTAGCAAAAGCGGGAGGTGGTTTCCAATACTTCAGCACCAATGCTGATTTGCGGCAATATTGAAGATTGCACCTCCGGTGAAGGCTGAAACAGACAGACAGTTTTGCTTGTGTTGGTGGTGAGCTCGAATTTGGCCGCTGTCAAAGCCAGAGCACTAGTCATGTGCTGCAACACATCCGCGCTGTGTGAAAACAACGCACAGTCGTCAGCAAACAGCAACATACGGATAGTTGTCTCACAGACTAGAGTTCTCGCACCGAAACGACGGATGTTCAGCAACCCACTATCAATACGGTACTCCACACGAACACCGTAAGCACAAGCCGCATCAAAAGCACAAGACAACATTGCATGAAGATATATATTAAACAGGGCAGGAGCTAAGACACAGCCTTGTTTCACACCAGCGACAACTCCAAAGTCATCCGAGGTCTCTCCACTCAGCTGCATCCTCGCTCGCATACCACTGTGCAGACATTCAATAAAACTTACAAACTTACGCGGACAACCAAACTTACCCAACACCAGCCACAATGCCTCGCGGTTCACCGTATCAAATGCCTTGGTGAAATCAACAAAAAGCGAGTACAATGGCTGGTGTCGTTCTCTGCACTTCTCTTGCAACTGACGAGCCGCAAACACCATATCTATAGTGCTGCGACCCGAACGGAATCCACACTGCTCTTCCGCCACGTTAGGTTCCACAATCTGACCCACGAGGCGATTGAGCAGGATTCGGGCAATCACCTTGCCCACACAACTCAGCAAGTTGATGCCACGATAATTCGTGCAACATTGCTTGCTCCCTTTGCCCTGTGGTAGCACAAAGGCATCCTTCAGCTCAGGAGGCACCTCCTCCTCAATCCATACACGTTGCACCAAGTGGTGCAGCGCAGTCAACAACGCGGGTCCACCGTGTTTCAATACTTCAGGCGGGATCCCGTCGGCTCCGGCACACTTGCCGTTTCGCAGCTGAGCAAGTGCTCTCTGCGTCTCATCCCGTGTCGGCGTATCCGCCAGATCCGCCTTCACATCGTGCTGCTTCAGGCCGTTCAATGTAGGCCAGTCGATCTCTGAACGGTTATTCAAGAGACAGTCAAAGTGTTTCCGCCAGACCTGCATTATGTCTGCAGTCTGGGTGCAGGTAGCGCCTGAACTACCATCGATCAGTGTCCTCAGCGGCTCCAATCTCGGTCCATACACCGTCTTCAAGGAGTCAAAGAATTCCTTGTGTTGGCGGCGTTCGGCGTAGCATTCCATCTGCTTCGCCTTCACCGTCCACCATGCATTTTTAATGCGACGGAGCTCTCGGGTCAGTCGCCGTCGAAGTTTGTGAAGCTGACTCTTCTTCCCCAAGTCACTGGGGTCTGCAGCATGTGCAGCAAATGCTGCATTCTTCTCCGACACCAATGCGCCAATCGTCACATTGTTGTCATCAAACCAATCAGGCCGCTTACAGTTTGCGCGCCCGATGGTCTCCTCGGCAGCAGCTCTCATCTGGTCGCGAATGTGGTGCCACAGGTGGGAGAGCCTATGGTGCGCTGAGACTGGTGGTGGCTAGATCCTGACAGATGGTCTACCCACTGCTGCTACTGCTGCGCCATAGTCTCATGTCCTGGACGCCTCCACGTGGCGACCGCTGGGTGGGAGTTGGGTTTCGCCCTTCTCCTTGCTAAGATCCAGGACACCAATCCGCATGAGTCGGCTAACTGACCATGTGCTAGACTCGCTGCCTTTCGGGTGTTCATTTAATCGAAGGCTTTGGCTGAGGACCCGAGTCGTTCTCCTGTCAGGATTAGGCGCCCTGGCAGTATCCTAGTCTATCCTCTCCGGAGGTTAGGAAGTGGTCGATGGCCTACTTCCCGTAAAACCTAGGCATGGGAGACAACAGGTTTACGGGTGATCTTCTCAAAGCTCGATTGGCGTAGAGCACGAGGGCCACGCATTGTCTCTGACGGCGGGAGGACACCTCCGGGTGTTCAATGGCTTGCTACTGCCCGCCTCAAGCCAGGCAGCCCCTGGTCAAATTGGTGCAAACCCGCCAAAAACCCACCTGCGTCTGGCCGTGGTCGCAGGTGCGTATCCAATTACGGCCGCAAAACATATGATAATTGTTCCAGAACCTCAAAGGCTGCGTGTGATGGCCGTCAAGCAGATCCCAATCTGTCTCTGCAATCACATTCCCGAGCTGGATCTGCTCTCCACTGCCATGTGGGTCAGGCTATTGAGCCAAAGGCTCCGGGCGGAGTTCCTCAGGCAAACATCCGAATCACCCACTGCCTTGTGGGTCAGGCTATTGAGCCATAGGCTCCGGGTGGAGTCCCTCAAGCAAACCTCCGAAGCACGACCACCTCGCGTGCGATTGCCCACCAATGCAATCGTATGCCTGCGCGCAAAGCACTCAGCATCGGGTGCTGGAACGTGCGCACACTACTGGACCGGAACTCCAGCGAGCGCCCGGAGCGAAGCACTGCACTGGTCGCGATGGAGCTGGCGCGCTACCACATCGATATTGCGGCGCTCAGTGAAACTCGGCTCGCTGAGCAAGGTAAGTTACATGAAGTAGGTGCTGGCTACACATTCTATTGGGTGGGGAACGCCGCCTCAGCACCACGTGAATATGGGGTCGGATTTGCAATATCCGATCGCCTGAATGGCCAGCTGGTGGGTGAACCAACGGGCATCAGCGCGCGACTGATGACTGTTCGCCTACGACTCGGAAGAGGTAAGTTTGCTACTTTTATAAGCACGTACGGTCCAACCATGAGTTATCCTGATGACACGCGTGATCAGTTCTACACTGAGCTATCCTCCGTGATACGGTCGGTGCCGAGAAGCGACCGATTATTTATGCTGGGTGATTTCAACGCGCGCGTTGGGCGTGATGCATCAGCGTGGACAGATGTTATCGGTCCGCATGGCATTGGTTCAGCGAATGCGAACGGTGACAGGCTGCTCTCACTGTGTGCCACTCACGGCCTGAGGATCACGAACACTCGGTTTGCACTGAGTGCGATATAGCAACTTGGACGCACCCACGGAGTGGTCACGCTCACCTGCTCGACTATGTCATCGTACGTCAGCGTGATATGCGTGAAGCGCGCATGACACGTGTACTGCGTGGAGCTGAGTGTGGCACTGATCACAAATTGGTTCGGACCAAACTGTACATATATTTTCGTAAATCTACGTATTGCACTCCCGCCGTAAATCGGCGTAAATTTAACATTCTCTCCCTCGGTACTGTGGCGAAACGTACTGAGCTGGAGAAGACGATGGCTGCACACCTGTGTGATGTGGACTGCATAGCCACAGTGGGCGACCTGTGGCACCACATTCGCGATCAGGTGACAGCTGCTGCCGAGGAGACCATTGGGCGCGCAAACTGTATATATATATATATATATATATATATATATATATATATATATTTTAAGCGGCGGGCTGGTGACTCCAAGTTTGCTTGTCCTAATCGATGCAGACAAATCCGAAACCGGATACCGCCAACCATGTATGCATGTGTGCCCCGTGCTGAGCCTGATGCTGCATCCATGATGCTTCTTCACTGCAGATGGGCTAAACCAGCTTAAACTTAAACTAGATCTTTTTAGTGGGGATAAAATCCATTCCACTTTATTTGGTTTGTTCTGCCTACATGAATAATCTTCTATTAACGGGACACGTTGCTTACGCTAACTGCGCTTATCTTCGGTAACTCTGCCGCGTTTGTAGCATTTTTAAGCAACTTGTGGACAGTTTTCACTTATCGCGGACTCGTTGCTAACCAACTTACTTCATATGATAATTTAGCGAAGAGAAATGCCACCGTATCTGTATGCATTATTGGATTTATTTCATTTCATTTTGTCGTTTCAAGTAATTGGCTATTGCTTAATATCCCCGGTGTGGCTGCGCTTGATGTGCATGTTGACAAGGTGCCTACCTGTCTATTACCCACTACCTCGTTCATACTGGCTTCAGGAGACAGTTGGTCGTCGCTGGAGGAGACGGGGTGCACGGTCGCTGTGGCCGTGTTAGGCTCGAAGAACGGATCCATGCACTCAGTGTGGAGCAGACTACGGTCCAGCCACCGTCTTGTGTGCGCTTGATTCCCCAAACACAGCGTGCTTGTGTTTGCCTGTGAAGGAGTGTGGGCCGGCTCTGTTGATGAAACGTGGCTCCCACCCACATACCTCTCGGTCTTATTCTTTCGGGTTTACACTGGATATGAGGTGTGTGGGTGGAGCTGTGGGTGGTGCAGCGCAAGCCACCCATGGTCCCTCTGTCGGCGCAGGCGTCCTGTGGCTGGCCATAGTGACAGGCAAATCCGAAACCGGATGCCGCCAACCATATATATATATATATATATATATATATATATATATATATATATATATATATATATATATATATATAACAGCACTAAAAGTGCTTTAAACAGGCAATCCGATTAGAAGACGGCAGCAGACGCGCCACTGGTGTCTACTGCGAGCCATGTCCTGTAAAATCTCGAGCCAAGCACAAGGCGAGTCACGTGGACTCCAGCCCGGAAGGCGAGACGGACCAAGAGCACCCAGTTTGGTCGTCAGTGACTTCAGTTCCCGTTGCCAAGTCAACTTCTGTCCACCTCGAGCCTTGCGCCACCCTACACCTGGCAAACTAAACAACACCCTCCTAGGTAAGCGGTGACCAGACATGCGTAGCATGTGCCCGAGCCAACGCAACTTATTCGGTGCTATCTGTTGTTCTACTGAGCTAGCATGAGTATCACCACCTAGTACTCGCCTACGACATCATCGTTGCGGACACGCTGGTGACATCCGACTCCAGCAATGCTTCGCAGACAAAGATGATCTTCAGACCGAAGGGGCCAAGTCTCATTACTATAGAGCAGAACGGCCCTCACTGTGGCCTTGTATACACGGCCTTTCAGACTGAGGGAAACTCCCTTCTGTCGCCAAAGATGCCGCAGGTTTAAGAATGCAATGCGTGGACTAACGTCAGTTTCTATGCGCCCATCATTGCTTACGCAGCTGCCAAGATAAGTGAAATGATCAACCACCTCGAGTTCCTCGTTAGCAAGCGTCAAGGGGTCATCAAGTGGCTCGTGGTCCTGCAGCAACACTTTGCACTTTGAAGGTGCGAAGTGCATACCAAATAATGGGACCACTCTGGACTCTGGACAGAAACGGACAGTCCTTGGATATCGCTGGAGTGATGGAGCAACAATGTGACCAGTGAAATGTCGAATAAAGCACTTCGAAATGAATGGTAATGAAAATACCGTTTGTAGTGCAACAGTTTAGCGTTAACCAGTAGGGATGCTCCTTTAGACGATAGGGTATAGTTTCATCAGCGTGATTCAGGTAGCTGAAGCATTTGAAACACGAAAGTGTGAGCATCCGTGTTGTTTAATGAACTCCAACCCATGTGTCTAAACATCATGAAAGCAGTTTAAATGGGGGGAGCAGTAAGTTTAATGATCCCATAACCTGTTCGAACCTCCGTCGCTATTGGAGAATGGTTTTGCGGCTTGCAGAGAGGAATTAAAATTAAGGCTAATGAGCATCGTCACAAATTGCCAATTCTTCAAGTCCAATGGTAATGTACAGAATGGTGAGAACAAGACCCCCCCATACTCACCCCAGCTTGAGTTGGTCCGCGCCGGCAAGGATACTGCACACGGTCCATCGTGCCAACTTGAAAGCGTTGTTTTTGATCTCAGAGGCCAAGACAGCGCCGCGCTGGGTGTCCAATTTTGAGCGCCAGTCCACTCCGCCACAACACTGAACGATTGACAAAGAGGGGAAGGATGAAGCGCGTGAAGAGATATCGAGAGGATCTTGCAAAATATAAACATATGACATGAGGCACCTGCATAAACAGGATATAGTTTGGGACTACGCTGAAGAGGACGAAAAAATCCACCGAAATAATTCATTAGACGATGATAGCAAGTGTTTTGACGGAGGACCATTTAGTAAGAACTGATTACGCGGTGTCTCCGGAAGAACAAGAAAACGGCTGGCTAGCCGAACAACTTCCACGTGGTGCCAGCTGGATGGTCCGGATTAATCCTGTTCCAGCGAATGGTTAGACGGCAGTGTTCCAGAACGTGGTAGGTTTTCGCGTGGCAAGCGTTCTCCTTAAAAAAAGTCACAAATGTCTGTTTAGCAACACTGTGACGTGGCGGATATGACTCGCCACTGAATAAGACCAATGCTTCCTGCCTATCCGGAGGATGTTACTCCACTCACGGACGTCAGCCAATTTGAAGATATTATCTGATCCCTTCTTATGTTGGTGAATTCACTGAACACAATCACAAATTCATCATAACCGTAAAAATTCACATACACTTACATATACACATAAAACATAAGTCTAGTATGTACTGATTACCTAGAGACACTCGTGACAATTACTGAGTATACGTTCTGCATTACTATGATCATGCCTTTTAAGGCAAGTGTAACACTGTCGGGAATAAAACGTTTATTTATTTATATAAATGTGAAACATAATGAGGATGTGTTGGATGGTCCGGAAGAAGCCATCGACTCATTCGGCATTATGAGGCCCCGATCATCAGTGAATTTGACTGGCGCGATGGTTAATCTCCGCAAAAGTATTTGGGTAGCAAAGTCGGCCGAATGTACCTGACCTCAGACGACGGGTCCCAGCGCACACCATCCCGGATCGCGAAGGATTGTAGTGGCTTTAATATCCAGTGCATATAGCTACCACCATACCGTCCGCTATCAAACTGCCAAGTTGTGATTCACTGACACACAGAAGAGGGGCGCGTGAGAGGCAACTTGAGGGAAGGGACTGAGGAGATACCGTCGACCTATCTGTGGCTATACCGGCTAAACACTACATAGCAAAATTATCAGACAACCCGAAGAAGATTGGAGATTACATGTATTACCGGACCACCAACATTAGTAAATGGAAACTCTCAAAGGGTGAGAAGGACCGAATTGTGAAAACCCTTCTTTCGAATGGTTAACCTGAACATTTCATCAAAAAGCACGCTATGACCCGTGAGCGCGTTAAGCCCGCAGCAACAGTTCCGAAAGAAAGATGTGTTTCTCTCTGTTCCTTTTAAGGCAGATATCGCCTTCGATCTCCTGAACAGGAGACTGTCTAATGCCGTAGAAAGGACCTACCCGGCCGCCCACCCGCACGTACTTGCGGAGACCGCACTCTTTATAGCTCAAGGTCTTAAAGACAGACTGCCATTGTTGTCCGAAGCGAACATTGTTTACAGTTTACTTGCATCTGTGGTGCCAAGTACCTCGGGCATACGACCCGGTGGCTATCGATACGAATAGCTGAGCATTATCCAGGGTCACTGCGGAGAGACATGCTCAGAAATACTGATGAGTAGTGAAGATTTTGGTATAATTCAGCTAATTCATCATCACCACTCTCAATCAGCGGGCTTAGACTAGTCCGGAAAAGCACCAGACGCCGGCGTTTCCACCTTCTGGGTCTCGTCAGTGGTGCGCCTCCCAGCGGAACCCTGAGGGGTCCCGCCGCTATGACTTCAGGATGCCAGCAGCTAGTGCCACTTCGCCATGGGTGACAACCTTAGACCTGCGTGATTGAAAGTTGACCATGATATAACCCGGCTCATCTTCCACTGCCATGCCAGTTACGAACTGTGCATTGGACAATGGCTAGCCTCGCGAGCTAGGACTTTCCGCATAGCGCCAATGAATCGCAGAGGACTTAGAAGCTATAGTGACAGGTTTTATAGTACTGATGAGTAGTGAGGATTTTGGTATAATTCAGCTAATTCATCACCGCCACTCCCAATCAGCAGGCTAGCTCGTGAGGCTAGCCATTGTCCTCTGCACAGTTCGTAACTGGCATGGCAGTGGAAGATGAGCCGGGCTATATCATAGTCAACTTTCAATCACGCAGATCTAAGGCTGTCGCCCATGGCGAAGTGGCACTAGCTGCTGGCATCCTGAAGTCATAGCGGCGGGACCCGTCAGGGTTCCGCTGGGAGGCGCACCACTGACGAGACCCAGAAGGTGGAAACGCCGGCGTCTGGTGCTTTTCCGGACCAGTCTAAGCCTACTGATTGGGAGTGGCGATGACGAATTGGCTGAATTATGCTCAGAAGTATCAACAGTTCGATCTTGGAACATTTGCTTCAAAGTGGGCATCGGATTTTGACCAAAGATGCCTTCAAGGTGTAGTATGCCGTACCGAGGCGATACCTGAAAGGATTAAGGAAACGCCTCTTACAGACGGCTGAAGCCATCGCGATCCGGCTAACACAACCAGAGCTATGCAAACATAGGGTGCTTGTGCAACGCTTGGCTTTGCCATAGCCATGATGATAAGTCTTCCCCCGGAGTATTACGCATAACCGGGTGCTATTTATTTATGTAATTATCTAATTTTTATACTGTTGGTGTTTTTGCCTTTTCTGTCTACACAAGTTGTTTTGCTATCTGTTAACTCTAGCAAGATGTTACCTGATTAAATCGCCTTGTGCATCGAACGAGCATGCTAAATCTGTTCAAACCGTCTCATCCGTCCTCATCTTTTGTCTTCAGCAGTTAACTGTTGTATTTATCAGCCCTGTAGTAGCTGTATTAGCCTGAAAAGAGATCTCTTTGCAACGCTGTGTTTCACATTTTCATGGGCATTATCTACGAATATTGGATTTTGTTCGGAAGCACCTGTTAAACTCGGCTTAACTTGTGCTTCTCCACTTCTTCGCCTTCACTCCCACCGATTTGCATCACTTGAATCCGTCACATCTGCCGAAATCTGCTTACATTCTCTCTGCTCACTGCTTTCTATACCCCATATCCCGCTTGTTCTTTACCTCAGCGTCACCCACTGTAAATGCACTGCGATTGTGATTTGAAAGCATTTATCACACCCGGTTTGTGTTATCCACCCCTACTGTACGCACCTGTCTAGCAGGTACGTAGTCCCTAACTCCCTAACTCCATGCAGACCACAGAAAATGCCTAAACGCCCGTGTGACTTGATGCATAGACTCCCATAATTACATGTTGTTTGTACAGTCGCGAGTACGGTGATTTGAACTTTGATTGCCCATATTGTAAAAAATCGGTCCTTTCTGTACTGAGCGGATATTGTTAAGATTCCCCATTACTTGAATGGTACCGCAGCTCAGTCTGGGCATTACGCTGGCCTGATCCGGGTGCTCTGCGTGCTGCTCAAAGATTCCAAGCGAACGTGTCGTTCACACACTCTCCATAGAGAAGGCCTTGGAGGCGGCTTAACAGTTGAGTACATTCACTCATGTGTCCTTAACAAACTGATGCAGTAAAACGCCTGAATCGAGGAGTTTTGTCCATGCAGACCCAACAGCCACTCGTGTGATTGGCTGTCAGAAGATTGGGTCACATGTTACAGGTTTTCGAAAAGAGGTGTGGATGACTATAGCGGAAAACACACAAATCTCATTAATCCCCAAAGTTTTGGTAAACGTTTGTCGTAACTTTTGTCTCCATTGATGTGGAGTGGTGCCTACTTCAGAGATTTCACTAGTATCTTCCATTCACAGATTTGTGACTGACAAAGCGAATCCGAGTAGTTAATTGTCCAGTCCAACAATTAAGATTAGAAAAAGGACCAACTACAAGAGAATAAAGTTGGTTCCCGTCGTCTGCAAGCTTCTGGTGCCCATCGAAATGCACAGACTATCTCCAATGCTCGAATCGCTACAGCGGGAACAACAGGCTGGGTTCAGACCCGGCCGCGGCTGCATCGATCAAATATTCACACACTATCATCATCATCATTATCAGTATACACGTTAGCTAGAGGTGGGAATTGTCTCAGCTACTGTGCCGCAATATATGGAAGAAAAAGAGAGAAAAATTCAACTGGTGCAAGCCAGCTGAGCTACCGGTAACGGATGAGCATCGTTCCGGAAAGCTACCAGCCGGCTACAAAGCAGCAAAAAAATTTACTATGCAAAGTATATAAGGCAAAATAGTGAGATTGTGGTTGCAGGGGGAGGCTAAGAGGCATGAGGTGGGACAAAGAAATACAGTACAAACGTCATTGAGGTCGGCTCCTTGTCATGTCAGCAAATGTATCCAGCCAAACGTGTTCACCGTCTTTTGGACCCCAACCAGGGAGCCGAGACGCCCCAACCAAGGCCAGCTTCGAAGTGAGAGCCTTCATTTGTCTGGAGCAAGTCATTGCCTGGCCACCCCTCCTCTTCTTCCATCCACACCCCCGGCCCGAATAAAACGCACGTCGCGGGAGTCGGTGGGCTGGCATGGGCAACACTTGGCCCAGCCATCGGAGATTGGTGCGTGAAATAACGGTGCTGAGCGGTTGAGTTCCTTTTCCTGTGCTGTAAACAAGGCGTCGAACACGCTCGTTGCTCACGCGGTGTTCCCATCAACCCACGCGAAGGCACCGGTAGTCGAACGAAGATAGCCTCTTTATGTCCGTTGATTTAAAGGGCCAGGTTCCACAACCGTACAGTAAGGTCGAATATACCGCTGCATTGTACACTCTACCCTTCAGGGTGAGAGTGATGTCGCGCCAGCTCTATAAGTGGCGAAGATTATCAAAAGCGCCCCGAGCTTTTGCTATACGGTTCGTGATCTCATCTTCAATCCCACGGGCGCCGATATAACTTCCAAGGTAGTTGAATATTTGAACGACTTCAAGCTGATCTCCACCAACGGTCAGCGAAGGAGGCGGTCCAGGCCAATTTTGGAGGAACACTTTGCACTTCGACGGTGCGAAGCATAGCCCGAAACGGATGACA